GAACAGTCAGTTGTTTTAAAGTAGTACTGTATGTATACTGTGTTACACCCCTTACAGATCTCACTTTTAAATGTATGATTTCTATAGGAAAATAAGATATGTGTATATACGCAGTACATAAGATTTGTCAGTACCAAAGCCAAAGCTGGAATAAACAAAAATTTGCTAATCAAAATGAATGTGCTAGGAAAAAATACATAAAATGTAATTTAAAAAGAGATACAAATTAAAAGAACAATAAAATGTTCAATTTAATTGAAATCTTGTAGTTAGAATTATTTTTTCATTAATTCAAGCCCTCATTTGAATTAAAATGTATTATTTTTCAATTTCTCAAGATGTTAAGGCCGGTTTATAACTTTATACTTTTGCATGCTGTTAGTGTTGCTCTGCAATAACACTTCTGAAACGCTAGCTTGCAGTAGGTTTTTATGTTTCTGTGTCGAGTTTCTTAGCGGGTGTTTTGTTTTTCTGAATGCTACCTTAATGTACAAGTAGCTCAATCTCGCTCATTTGGAGGCGGGAACCTGCCGACATGCAACAACATTAATCATAAGGCAAACACAAAACAAAAGTTTCCATCTGGAGTTCCATTATTGGAGTGAAAACTTGTAAACACTTGGCTCTCAGCACTGCCCACACATGTCAGCGCTACCAAGCCGACCAATCAGAGCTTGCGCTACGGGTCGTTGCAAAATATAGTTACATTTTTTGACAGGTGCAGCGTCGGTATCAGCCACGTTGAGGGCTATGCGACTGAGTGAAATGCATGTGCTTGATGCAGAAGTATAAATCAGCTTTTAGGTGACCACACTCTTATTTTAATGGTTCTGAGAAATGCTTTGAATTGTGCATTTTTTTATTTTTATAATTTGCCGTAATCTCAACGTCAAAAAAAAAAAAAAAGAAAAGAAAATGAAGAAAATGAAGAGACGGTGGGACATTAAGTAGCTCCTCCACTTTTAAGAAAACAGCCAATAGCATTTCGTTTTTTAACACAACTCTACCAGTGAGAGTGGCTGAGCGCAAGCGCATCAAATGAAAAGCAAATGAGAAGCGTCTTGAAGGGAAGGGGTATGTCAGATACTAGAGAGCAGTGCTTAATTTGACTCGGATCTTGCCGTATCCTGTTCCAGAAAATGTTAGATATTCGTGTTTTGCGTTCTGGTACTTATTTTAATTGATCTGGAATTAACTTGTGCATATACTGTATGTACTGTATCTGTGTGAGAGAGAGAGAGAACGTGAATGAGTGCAAGTGAAGGTTGTTTGGATTATTTGTGCGCACATGACGGTATCACATGTGCAAGTTAAAGCAAAAGTCACATTTAATTGGGCCTCAACAATATTTTCAGCAAATCATCTTTCTTCATAATAGCGGGCAACCTAAATAATGTTTGTTTTTTCAAAATGCCAAAGAGGCAGTATTTCCATCTTTAATTCTTCGAGTAAATCTGATAACGAGCCTGATCAAAAGAGATCTCAAGACCAATAGAATTGTGTCCCTGGATCAGAATATCGGAAGGCAGATGCAAAGCGATCTCAAGTTTTTCTTCACTTGGAAGTGAACTGAATGTCAGTGGAGTTAGTAAACTGAATAGTGATGTTTCTTAAGATTTATGTTTGTAGCCATGTTTGTTTTTTATCCATGATTGACCCATAAAAAATAATTAAGGACAATTCAGAAATGCTATGCTTTATTTGCACTGCTTAATGATGTCATGTTCCAGGAAAACTCAAATTGCGTGGTGAACGTCGGTCACGGTAATTTTTATTTCTAGGTTTTGTTCCAGAAATTGTTTATTTACAAATTAAGCACTGCTACAGAGCATAAACTGAAGTATGTGACATGAAAACAATCGTAGATCAATTTAGCGGGATGTGACAAACTGCATACTTAGAATGTTTATATCAGTTTTTTATTTTCTAAAACCAAATTATGTCACTGTTATAAAGCACACTAGCTAAAAGATATTCTTAAAACTAACAGACTGAAACTAACATCTATTTTTTATTTAAATGTCACAAGATTATAACTGTGTAATTGTTTAAACGAACCCAAAATGTACACAGCGAAATCCTTAGAGTAAAATATATACTTAGTTCAGAGTGTATTTGGACCCTCTTTAAATAAGGGCAAACAGGTTGGTAATGAGTAAAGCTGCTGTTCGTGGAATTGCTTAATGATCCTCTGCTGAGATTTTGAGAGATTCAATGTATTATATTACAGCTGATTTCATCTAAGGCTGTGATTAGTTGACAACTGATTAATCCTTTCATTGTCTCATCAACTTGAGTAACTTTAACTAAATTTAGAGGGGCACCAAATACTATCTGAACTAAGTAAATCTTACTCGGAGGATTTTCAAAGGGGATATTCTCATTAATGCTGTGTGCACTGTATGTGTGATTGGCATGTATGCTGGGCTTCACTCACCTGTAAATAACACCCTTTGAATGCAGGAAGAACAGGCCTATGGCAATTTCTGCAGCATAAAACCTAAACACACACACAAGAACATATCTTAATCATCCGAACACAGCACACCAATAACTTTATGCATGATCAGAAGCCAGCGAGTTGGTCATTATCAGAGAACGAACACCAGTAGAAGGGTCCGTAGAGTCTGAAAACTGACCAATCAGAATGAAGCATCCCAGAGATCTGCCTCATAAATAATGAAGAAGGCTGATAAAGGTGCATTTTTTTTCTGCTGAGAGCACAGAGACTAGAGCTCTGCCCTCGGAATAGACATAAGAGAGATAAAGCAAGCCTGATATCTGTTATTAATACGAGCCCGCAGTAATCTTTTATTTATCAGGTGGCGTGTTTGTCTGTCCCATATTTTAGAGCAACATTTGAAGAGAATTAGCATTCGTGTTCAGTGACTAATGCAGCTGGGGGTGGAGCAGGAAACAGGCCTCGCTACAGAGCCAGATTATGTCAAAAGATAACTTCTGTTTCCCGGCCACATCGGCAAACCAGCCTTCGGCTATCACCACTTGGAGAGCGAGCGAACGAGATGAATTCATTACACATTTGCAAAAGTACAAATGATTATACATCACAAAAATTTGATTCACTCACCACCTGCAGTCCAGTTATTCATGTGCTAAATCCGCTAAACTACCGAGTACTCTTCCATTCTCTAGAGGAAAACGAGTGTCACTTGAAAAGGCTATATGTAAGAATTTTCTTCTATTAATCGCTTTTCTTTTTTGCCAGTGTGTGAACCGTTTATATAAAATAAAAATTTTTGAAAAACTTTAAAAACGAGAACTTCCCCAAGGAAAGCCTTTAGGCTGCTTTTTATGTGAAGGCCACGGGGAAATCAAAAGAATATGACGTTTATATGTGCTCCAGAGAGTCTTTCTTCCTTTCTACGACACATAAAATGAATTCTTATACAACGTTTAAGATAATGCCTAAAGAACTAGTGAGTCATGCAAAAGAAGGGGATTAACTCAGACTGTAGTCTCACAGAGTCACACACTGCAAAAAACACACCGCTTTTCTTACTTTGAGCTTTTGTCTCGTTTCTAGTCCAAATATCTTCAAATTGAAGAAGCATTAAAGGCCACCTATGATGAAAATCATCTTTTGGAAGCTGTTAGGAACTGTACTGTAAAGTGTGTGTGCCATGGAATTGGGGTTATATAAAGACAATAAATCTCATTTTTTAATTTTCTGATGACAAAATAGGATCCAAATCCCTTACATTTTGAGCCTCACCCACCAGATTGACAGTCAGGTATTAACATGTCTCTGTAGTAACACATATAATCATAACAACAAGACAGGATGTGCGAAAAGCAACTGGGATTAAAAGATCTGTTGTGTGTGTTGTGTATCAAATGTGATCAAGAATGAGTTTTACAAGCTTAAAAAGTGTTTAAAACAGTGCATGTTTTGTACTGACAGGCAAGTGAAAATGGGGGACGAGGAGAACTAGCATTTAAGGCCACCAAAACAGCCACAATGTCTTGAAAGCAGAAAATTTAATAAATAATCGGGTGTTGTGAGCTGAAACTTTACAGACACAAAAAACTCTCAAATCTTGAAAAAAAGGGTAAAATAGGTGCCCTTTAAGAAAAATTAATAAAACAATTCCTAAAAATAATCTGCCAATGGGGTAAGCAAAATAATCTTGTTTTTGTTTTGAAATAAGAATATTTTACTTGCTTCATTGGCAGATTATATTGCATGTTTTAAGGAAAAACTTGCTTAATTTTGTCTTATTCATTAATTAATTAATTCATTCATTCATTCATTCACCCATTAATTTTCTTTTTGGCTTAGTCCTTTTTGGCTTTATTAATCTGGGGTCACCACAGCGGAATGAACCACCAGCATATGTTTTACGCAGTGAATGCACTTCAAGCCGCAACCCATAACTGGGAAACACTCACACACTTTCACTCACACACATACACTACAGAAAATTTTAGCTCACCCAATTCACCTGTCCCGCATGTCTGTAGACTTGTGGGGGAAACCGAAGCACTAGGATGAAACCCACGTGAACACAGGGAGAACATGCAAACTCCACACAGAAATGTCGCCCCCAATTTTGACTTAATATTTCTGAAAACAAAACAATGCTTTTTGATTTTTGATGTTTAGATATTTGCACTAGAAACAAGACTAAAACTCAAGGAAAAGCATTTTTTGTAGTGTAGTTTTATATAGTATTAATGTACTTCATAATAAAACTATCATAAATGTGTCAATTTTTCTGTGCATTTATTAGTTTATTGAGAGGAAAGTGTGCTGCTCATATTTACATATTCATCTAATTGTCACTCTCAGCTATTTGTATGGTTTCTAGATGAGCTTTATCAGTCTGCAACACTGCGAAGGTGATTACAATAATTTTATTTCAAAATTAGAAATAAAAAGAATGTCATGAAAAGAAAACAAAGTAATGTGATGGGTTTGTGGGAGACAGAGAAAGATAAATCCAAGCAAATCTTTTTATAATAAACAAACAAAGGCAACATTAGGACTAAAATCATAAGTACAATAGACAAACATCAAATAAAGACTATGGGAAGAAATTGAACAGAAGAAGGAACTTAAATACACAGACTGATTAACCTAACTAAAGGTATGTTTATACCAGTGTGTTTATGTTTTAAAGTAGCATTTTAAAATGCAAATGTTCTTTTAATATATTGGTGTGTTTACTGCATTGCATCCCCATTCACAATATACAGCATGATACATGACCATTCACACTCTGGTCATGCACATGCTGTATTTTGCAAGGATCAAGTAATGGTTTAACGCATATAATCATACTTGTCAACCCTCCCGTTTTTCCCAGGATTCTCCCATATCTTACAATTCTATACCGCTATCATCTGGATTTCTACCGTATTTTCAATCTTTTTATGAAGGTTGGCAATGAACATTAAAGGACCAATCCTCACTATAAGCAAACCATACAGTTTAACCACCAGGGAATGCCCCTTGCTCTTAAACGTGAATCTGTTCTTTGCTTTCATTTTATTAAGGCATGAAAACACTTTGAAATAAACATAAAAACAACAAGATTACAGGCACCACCACCCCTTCTACGCAATCCTTAATTGCGTGACTTAATGCGTGACTGTCAGATGTGCTGTACACATGATTTAAAGAGCAGCAAAAGTGGACACTGGGTTTTGAGTGCATGCTTAAACATACATATTCACATGATAATAATAATAATAATAATAATAATAATAATAATAATAATAATAATAATAATAATAATAATTATTATTATTATTATTATTATTATTATTATTATTATTATTAAAAAGAAAAAAAAATCCTTCACTTTCGTCTATTAGTGATTTTTTTTCCCCAGTAAAATTTAAACCACACTGAACTTAACTAAACTGAACTTCAACTCTGAAAACTGGACTGACGCAGTTTCAATTTACTAAAACTTCTATGCTAAGCTGCTTTTGAAGCAATCTACATAAAAAAACACTATAAAAATTAAAAAATGAATTGAATTGAGTTAAACTGAATATATAGAGTGGTTTGACTATTCAGGGAATGATACACAATAGTCCTCTGGAGACACCTCCATTTTCAAAGGTTTGTGTTTCGGTCCATCTATACTTAATTCCAAATAACATAAAATGGGGTCTTTAGCTTTCTCAAAATGCTCAGTTTTAGCTTAAAGACACTGGTGTATTGTGGATGCTAGAAAACCGTAAGCATACATTACAGCTGAGTACCAACATTTCAAAACTAAAGCAATGTCTTCAGCGTTTTCCAAATTGTTCCAGATGCTGGAGTAGTGTGAACTTCAGACGTAACAGTAATAAAGCCTATGCATTTTAAAATGAAAACGTACAAGGGTAAACACTGTCGAAATGGCAATAAGATGAACAGATAATGAGATAACCAGGATGGGAAGCAGAGCAAAAGGAAAAAAAATAGGTCAAACTGAACAACCAAATCAGAAAGTATTCAGTCTTATATGTTTACTTTAGCTTGAATGTGAGCATGAGCAGTTCATTACTGGCTGCAGTTCACTTAACAGCCACCAGTGTCACTACTAACAGTAATAAATTAAGTAATTAATAAATGATTGCAGTTCACTTTTACTTTTGGTTTCATTAGTGCATTCTCTGTAAAAATGTATTATTTGCACATGCTTTTAAGCCCTGCCAATTCAAACCTTCAAGCAATTTTACACTAATCAAATGAATGCCGAAATGAAAGAGCTCATTATAGTTTTCTTTGTGAACATCACAAAGAAAAAGGTGCTAGCCACAAATTGAGCGCTCATTTGTGTCTTCTCGCACTTAAGCAGAAAAATTAACTTTGCAAGTTTGAACATTCAAGCTACTTTTTTTTACCATTCAAGTGTATGATGATGTGAAGGAACTCAAAAGTCAAAGCAAATTAGCAAGTGAAAAATCTGCCAGTTTTCACAAGAATAAAAGCGTTTGTCAAATTGAAAATATTTTTTAACTATTTAAATAAAACAGATCTTCCTGTGAGTGCTCATAATGCTTCCTTAATTTAGCTTGTACTATTCTAGATGACAGCAGCAAATTTGTATTACAAGATCTTCTCTCGCTTATTGCCTAATTAATTATTAATTACTTGCTCATGTGTAAGTTGATAAAAGAAATCTGTGGTCCTACTTTATTTTAAGTGTCCTAAACAGGGCTTGACATTAACTTTTTCTGATCACCAGCCACAGTTGCTAGTAGTTTTCCACTCTGCATTTTCACTAGCCACAGTTATATTGTTGGGAATATATATTATATAACTTTCATAAATTTGACTTTGGCATGCTAAAATTATTTGATTTAAATTATGTGTTAAGTGCCTTCTCATTAATTTGACTTTTTGTGTGTTGTGACTTTGCTCAATGAGGATGGGCAAATGTGTTGAGGTTTCATAGTGTCGCATTGCGATTAGCTCTTATTTCACATGACCTTTTACGGCTCAACACTAAGGATTTTCTAGATTTCTCTTTAGCCATACCA